TAGTATTTAATGAATGCTTGATTAAGATAAATTCGAAAATATACTAGCAGCAAGTCATTAGTAAAGACACAAGTGTTTTCTCTTATAAAAGTTTAAACTTGTGTTTAACATTACTTTATCTTATTTAACTTTGCATCATATTAGAGCTACTAAATATATACTTCTTAATAATTAAAATTTGCTACAATGGATGCCTAATTAACTGTCTGTGCATGTGACCTTTTACTTACTGTTATTATTTTTATAGTTTTTAAAGTTTAATTGCCCAAAAACGGTTAATATGTCATGCCTTTTCAAAATATTTTTTTTATGTATGTGTTAAAACAATGTAAAAACAATATCAGTTTTCAAAATGTTATTCAAATGAGTGTTATTTTCATTTTATTAAAAGTATCCTTTAAAAAAATATTTATACCACTTTAAAAAGTTGTTTTTTTCCTGCATTGCAGCAATAAATTCCTGTATTTGCTGAAAAGGTTTTTATTATTTGACAGTTTATCTGACTTTTTGCCATTCCCCTAAATCTTTAGGCCCATGCACAAGTCAGTAGTCTACCTTGGATACAAGCATTAATATTTATTTCACAAGACATGACAAAAATAAATAAATCATTTTTATTAATGTAAAATATAATTCTATCAGATGTCAGCAGCAATCCAAATAAACCACACATACATAGAAATCAAAGCTACTTGGTGCAAAATGATTCTCCGTCGTATTTTCATACAGTAAACACATTATTTTGGTATCACTAACTATCATGTTATTGCATTCTTATACTGTGTATGGCAGTTTTGTCTGACTATTTTGCCATTCCCCTAATCTTTAGCCCCATGCACAAGTCAGTACTCTACCTTGGATAGAAGCATTAATATTTATTTCAGAAGACATGTTGACAAAAACATGTAAAATATAATTTCTATTGACTCTGGTGACACAAAATCCCCAATCAGATGTCAGCAGCAATCCGAATAAACCACACATTGGTAGAAATCAAAGCTACTTGGTGCAAAATAATTTTCTGTCATACTTTCATACAGCAAACACATTATTTTGGTATGGCTAACTATCATGTGATTGCATTTTAAAACTGTGTATGTCCATAAATAGTTTTTAGTGGAGATTATGTAATAAAAGACTAACAATAATATGGCTTTTTTTATTACAATACTTTTTAGTTTAATAATGTGGAACATATATTTTAAAGTCTTTTAAAAGTCCTCATTTTACTTTCTTCAGCATACTTTAAATTAGCAAATCTTTTTATCATATTTTAGTACTGATAAGGATTTCCGCATCATTGTAATGTACATTGGACTGTTTGGGAGTAAAGATGAAGAGAAAAGAAGCAATAAACGTCACCCCAAGAAATAGCTTAAAGTGCAAATTTTCTTTTTATTCTGATTTAATTTTACAGCAGAAATTATGTAAAGCATTCAGAAGACATATTCCACATATAAGGGCAATATTCAAAAACACTTTGCATGGCCTCAGCAACAAAATATTCTTTTGAAAACATCAACAAGTTAGTGATGCTTGTGCATGCATGTTTGTAAAACAAACAGAAAATAGGACGGATTCAAAACTAGGCTACAAAAAAAAAAAAAAAGTGGGAGGAATGAGCAGCTGAGATCGGCTTTGCGAACACAACAGCAGGCAGGATGGAGGTACAGCAGGAGATGAGAGAGAAAGGGAAGACGGGGTGAAAGAGCAGGAGGGCAAGGAGAGGTCTAGCCATAGGTTATCTATAAGGGTCTACCATTCTAGCATGCAATGTGGTGTTTGGCCACGCCCTCTTGAAACAAGGCCTGAAAGGTTATACGGTTCATTTCTAGGCGGACATATGAGAACAGAGGGTGGCTCTGTGCACGTTCACCACCTGTTTATTATGGCAAAGTTTCTTACCTTTTAATCTGTACTTTTTCTTAACTACATACTCATTACACTCACCATCCTCTCAAAAACAAGGTACTACTGGATTTCCTGTAGTGTGGAATACTATAATTTGTTCTGTACAAGTTGATGAATTGATGAATGTGTGTGTGAAGAGGTTTTAGAAAGTCAGTTTCGCTTTGTTAGTGAGAAGCAGATTTTAAGTGCTGAAGAGGAATTGTCTTCGCTGAGGCTTTCTGACCAATAAAAAAAAAAAAAAACATAAAACATTTTTATGATTAATTGTATTTCTTAAAGTGCCTTTATAAAATAATTATATCACTTGAATGTTTTCTTTTTCCCAATTTGTCTCATTGCAAATACAAACATGCTCTTTTATTGAGATTTTCAAGTAGTACAAAAACATGATGCGGTACATCCTGCGGCTGTAAAGTGGAACGAAAACGATGCATAAATTTCAAAATGTTTTAAAAACATATCTGAAAAGTGTGGCTGCCATTTGTATTCAGCTCCTTTTACTCTGATGCTCTTAAATAAAGAGTCTTTTTGTCTTTTCAACTCAGTGGTGAAGATTATTAACTGAACTTTATTGATCTCACATTGGAGAAATTTACCTCTGCATTTAACCCATCCCCTTGGGGAGCAGTGGGCTGCCGTTGTGCGGCACCCGGGTAACAGTGTGGGACTAAGGGTCTTGCTCAGAGATCCAAAGGGATCTATGGGAATGGGGCTCAAACAAAGAACCTCAGTATTCCAAGCTCTATGCCCTGACCACTAGGACACCACCCCCCACTTCTTATAGTGCATTGATGTGAAATGTTGAGGATTTAGCAGAGCGTCAAATCTGCAGATGATTTGAAAAAGCCCCATATTTCACACGTTTGGCTTCGTTTGTATACTACTTTTTTCATTACATCAAAAATAAAAATGTACTTCCCTCAATTTGATGTGTTAAAACACAAAAGAAACTTTATTTGACATCACTTTAAATGCCATGAGTTTAAGATCAAAAAGGTGGCATTGTAAATATACATATATGTATATAATCATGCATCAGGAGGTCCAAGTAAAACAGCAGGCAGGTAAAGGAGAGAGCATTGGAGCAGTTTAAACAAGGAATAGGCTATCGAAGATAGGTAAGATCCCAGCTGATCTCAGTAAATCAGCCATTTGTGGATGTAATTCTACAACAACAGAATTACTATAAACACAAAGCCAGAAGAAAACAAATGGGAAATTTGATTTAGTTTTATTCTCTTTGACTCTTTTGAGCCACAAGAGATGACCTACGTCTCACTCGCAACTTTAACCCACCACTATTTCATTCTGCATGAAACTGACATGGCGAGCTGAATCAAATGGAGGCCACAGTCTTCACATTCTCACCAACGATGCATTTAAAAAAACATGTTTCGTTCCCCTCAATCTAAATCTGTTACGGTCTTAGACTGTAACGATACTAACTGCTTTACATTTAAAGAATTAACATTGTTACACGTCATTGAAAATCTTCATCAATGAAAATTCTTATTGTTTGCAAAGTCATTTAAGCCATTCGATTTAAAAAGAATGCATTTTTTTATGTTGGAAACCTTTTACAGAACACAACTGGAATGATGATGATTTTTTAAGTATATATGTGTAAGACCATGCAAGTCAGATATCAACAGATTTAAATTTGCAGGTGCTGCATTAATAAATGGACAGCTGATGTTTTCCAAACAATGATCTCGCACACGCGTACATCCAAATGTACACAGCCTCCACATGTGGGGCACCCATGTGCCAGCAGTTAATGCAATCCACGTACCATCTCCCTGTCCTTCAACCCTGAGTATAATCTTAGGGAGAGATTTCATGCCTCCCAAAGACATTAGCACACGAGAGAAAGAGTGTGGCCTTATTTCCGGGCTGTGTACTTTTGCGTTCCACGCTATGTGCGAGCACATCGCAAGGAGAGACTGTGATGGTAAAAACAGGATGTTGGTGAAACATGTTTAACCAGATAAAAACTTCAGAGCTCTGTTTTTGTAAAAACGTTGCAGAAAAAAAAAATCTGGGAGAAAAAAAAAGAAGAAGAGTGATATTAAGAAAACACAAAGTGCTCCAATTGGAGATGCTGTGAATGGATTCATGATAGTGCCTTTCATAGACGGGAGTTTTTTTCCTCCTCTAATAAGTACACATAAACGTGGGGGGGTGGGTGGAGGCGATACTGTCAGCCCGACAAACCAACACTTTATCAATTAGGCCATGAGCACTCATTCATACCAGACAAATTAGGGCTTTTAACAGATATGGTCAAGCTCAATTTTAACACACAATTTAGGAAAATAAAGAGATAACTGGGAACATTTTTGGAGAATATACAATACTTCCTGATATTAGTTTTCTGTTGTTGAGCAGGCACTTTCCAAACAGTTACCACACAGTTAAAGTACGTCATACAATTATGGCAGTGACTATGAGGAGAAAAAAAAAAAAAAAAAAAAATAGCATGAGATCGGAGACATTCTGTTTGAAGATGGAAAGCTTTGACTGGAGGCTGGGCTGGACCTGCTGTAGGTGTGATTGATGGTCTTAATAAAAGCAAGTATGTTGCTGGAGCACAACCACATAGTGAGGGATGTTCAGTGGATATAAAAGTCTACACACCTCCCCGTTTAAATCGTTTTTTTGATATGTGAGAAACAAGACAGAGATGGATAATTTAATCCATTTCCACCTAGAAAACCTGAAATAAAGTGGTTGAACAAGAGCGTACATCCTCTTTCTGACATTCTCCAATTTTCTCTCCTTTAAAAGATATTAACGGTACCATGGTTTTTGTGCCATGATTCCAATGGTGTTTAGTGTTAAATAATACAGCATACCACCGATAGAACACCTCTACAAAGCACGACAGAGGCAGGATGGTGATTTGGACCTTTTTTAGGTTATAATCAAATAAGGAGAATTGTGACCCCTAAACCTTCTGCAAGAAATATCAGGATTAATTTAAGATTTTTTTTCACCACTATTACAAACCAAGGCCTAAAACGAAATCAGAAAAAGTTTCGCAACGATCTGCAGAAGTTTGTGAACATGAGGATTGTTTTTTTTTTAAATTTTTTTAAAGAGAAAGAAAATATTGCCAAGTGAAAATGTATCCTGCTGACTTTCTCCTCCCACAACATAAAACCCACTGCAATAAAATCCAAAAGTTTTAATTTAGAGTTGTGCACACTTATGCAACCACATTATATGTGTTTTTTTTATTAATCTAATTTCAACCAATATATGCAGCTTGTATAAGCAAAATAAATAAGTGAATTTCGGTCATGATGCATATTTCTCAGACAAAAGGTCCCAGAGCGCTTTAGGATATAGGGTTGAATTAAATTATGAAGCAATGAACCAAATAAACAGATTCACAATAAAATTATTTCATTAAAGCCAATTCAATTTCACAATAACAGAGGAGAGATATGATTTCTAATCTGTGTGTGCAGACATTTCACATCCACTGCAGCACCCTCTTCCCTTTATGAATCACCAGTCACAGCATTCACATTTAAAACCTCATAGTCATCGGCACCATCAGCATCATCATTTATACTTGCATCGTCTCCATCATCCTTTTATGCATACGTTTTTAGACAGAACTCTAGGAGTCGTAGTTCTACATCTGAGCTAGAGCTACGTTACTACTGTTTACTGTCAACATGTGCTGCCTCTGTGGATCTTACTGAAGACTTCTGGGTACTGGTTTCCCCAGCATAACATACTGTGTTGTTAGGCAAAAGTAGCATTCATAATGATTGGCACTACTGGCAAAACGGGTTTAATTTTTGCTAGCCAAGAAACAAAAGCACAACGTGTAAATGTTTTTTGTTTCATTTTGTTTTTTTTTTTTGTCTGAAAGATCATGATTTCAGCTTACTTTGTTTTCCCACTTATAGTTCTAATGTTAGATTTTTCTTTTGCATGCTTTTAAGAAAATGTCCTTTTTAAATAACACTTATACTGGATACTCTTAAAGTGAAGCAGTTAAAATCCTCTCACAGTCCATAGCCACTAACATGTTCTTTTAGCTGTTTCTTTTGTCTTAAATCTCATGCACATTATTCCGTTTGTATTATCTACATTATTTACAAGCAATATGCCGTCCTGTGTACCCAGATCTCTGTCTAAAGTTCTCGTTACGGGAAGTAAAATAATTTATAATCTTAAATACAGTCTTCTTATGAAAAAGTTTCAGGGTCCTTGTATCCCCTTACCTCGTCAGTTTATGTACAGAAATATGCAATAGTCCAAAATATGGATTTGACCGCCCGTATAGGGCCAATACAGGGAGCGGTGCCCTGTATAGGGGCAAGTATAGGACCCGTGTCCTTTACAGAGCAAGCATAGAGACCTCTCGGAGTCAAGAAGAAGTCAAGGCAATGTTATGTGACTCTGTCCTCGAAACCATAGTCATGATTTGGAGGTTCACGCAGAACAAACTAACAGAGACGTTTAACCACTGGAACATGTCGTATTTTATCACACCGGGTGGGGAGGGGTTTGGATTGAGGGACCAATCTGGAACTAAACCACTCTAGAGCCAGTTCAGCAAAGAATTAGACCCTTAAATAAATAAATAATAAATAAAGCACCAAAAAGAAGTCATTTTGTCCTTACACGGTTCACATTACACAGGGCAAGGATAAGTCGATGAAGACATGAGACACAATTACACATAGAAATACAAAAAAGAAACAACACTAAAGCGGTTTTGGCAAGCATGCAGGAGCTCATAGCTCAAACACATGCATTGAATTGAACGAACACGGACACACCACGTCGGGCGAGCAAAAGTGCTGCCACTGAGAACGACTCCATACAAAGTCCATGTAGCAAATTAAGACATCGTTTTTCAGGCCGCTTCCCTTTTATCTAACAATGCTCCTCATACATTCAAGTGCAGTTCCTCCCCCTTTTTTTTCTTTTCTGGATTAGGTGACTAATAGCTTTGTAAGCCGGTGAGTCAGAGTGGTTGGGTGATACTGTGAGATACTGAATCAGCAGAATGATTTGCCACTGTAGCTCTGTAGGATGATATAGAGGAGGAATAAGCTGAGGAGGGGAAAAAACCTTGCATGCAAATGCAACATAGAAGTGAGTTTTTTTGGTTTATGGTTTCTTCTTCTTTCACAGATCTCTGTTTTGATACAAAAAAACAACAAGAAAAAAAACAGCGGGTTTTGTGTGTTTTTTTGCATGTTGAAAGTCGCCTCTTTCTTGATCCAGTTGTTCCCAGCCTGAGCCTCTTCAGCACATCCAGCTGCTGCCTTAAACAGCAGGACGTCGTCCTCACGCAATTCCCTCTTTTTATCCCTTTTTTCTACTCATCCCGCTTGACAACTTGCTCTTGCAAAGAAACATACCCATGAGGAGTGCAAAAAATGCCAATGAGGTTAATGTGATGGCCTCCCAGTTAAACTGGAGGAGGATCAGTGCTGTGAGCAGAGCCTGGTTCTGGGGCTCTGCCCAGCAGTCTGTCTGTCTGAGCTGCCATGATGGACACCTATCCTGTCCTCAGTCTGTCTGGGAAGAGTTTTTTTTAGTTAGTTTTCTTTCTTTTTTTTTCCTCTTGAGAAATGAGGCCAGGGGGGTTAAGAGCAAAGAGGAGAGGCTGGGAAATGGAAAAAGGGAGGGAGGGTAGGGAGGGAGAGATGTATTGGGGGAGTTGATTGCTCACAGGCTGAGGGGGCTGTGCGCGGGGCCTGGTGACGCATTTTCAGGACCCCTGGCCTTTCTCTGCTCTCTGGCCCTAAGGAAAATCAAACAAACATTAGAAACAATCAGGGAAAAAGTTTACAAGAAGGCCTGTGTATATAAAGTACGCTGTAAAACTTTTAATGTCGTATTTTGTCACATTACAACCACAAACTTTATAGGGATTTTATGTGATGGAGCAGCACAAAGTACTGCATCATATCTATTAGAAATAAATAAAACAAAAAAAGTGTGGTATAAATTTGTGTTTAGCTCTCCTGAATCAATAAAACTATTTTGCTGCAATTATCTACTACAAGTTGTTTGTCACATAAATAAAAATAATATATATATGTATGTTGTTGTAATCTAACGAATGCGAAAAAGTACAAAGTAGGAAGAACAGTGTTGCAAGTCACATTATCTGCAAGTTGTAATTTTTTTTTAATTATTTCTCTTTATTTTATCCCCCAAATGTCGAAGAGAAAAGAGCAGTTATTTGACAAAACCTGCATTTATTCACATCCCTTTCACGCACACATATGCCCCTCAATCCTCTATCAGCATCATCCATCAAGGCACACAAAAATCTGCATGCCAAGCAACCCCCGCCCCCCCAAAGTCCCTTGGTGATAATCAGAACATGCCCCCAAGAAGATCATATGCAAGACCTGCTTCTCTATCTGTCAGTCATGCACATTTGTTGTCATCATTCGACAGTCCTTAGAGGGAGACAGAGAGAGAGAGAGAGAGAGAGAGAGATACAGTATAGGGGGGAAAGAGGAGAGCAGGAGGGATGGATTATGATCTAGGAACTCCTCTACCTCTCCCTCTCCTTCCGCTGTCATGCAAACAGGCATCAGCCTCCGAAAGAGAGGGAGCAAGTGGGGACTCACCTGTTTCAGAGGCCTGTGGTCCATCAAGGGGCTTCACAGGAGCAGCAAAACAACAGCAACTATTAGCACCGCTCTAAGTCTGTGTACATGTGTTAGTCGGTGGTATGGGTGTGTGATATGGTGCCCTAGAGTGTGTGCATTAATGAGTTTGAGCGCGCTCACCTGTGACGGCAGCGGAGCAGGAACCTCAGGATCTTACGAGCAGCCTGGTTCTGTTTTTTAGTGAGGAGGCTGCTGTAAGCAAAGAGACCAGAGTATCTTTTAGTGACGTTTCTTAAAGGTAATCAAAGGGACAGCATAGTTGCGTGATCCTGTAGAGCACCTGAGGGAGTGCTTGTAGGAGCGGTAGTATTGCTGGATGAGGACCGCGGCTCTACGGCTCTGCTGGAACTTCCTCTGTTCGTGGAAACTCCGGAAACGACTCTGGATCAGGATGGCTGCTAAAGTCATCCTCTTATAAAGTGCATACTGCAAGGAAGGACAGGAGCAACGTGAAGCCTGATGAGTCAGGGAATCATTTTATTTCTACATCCCATTCCAAGTGTTTTGAACTTTTGACACAAACTTAGTGTAATTATATTGGATTTTGTCAGAAAACTAGAAAGTTCTGCAAAAAATGAAAAAATGGAAGTGAAATGCGTTTTGATTTTTATCTCCCTTTGAATCCAATTTAACCCAAATCTTCCAGAGGTCACCCATGTGTGACTTGGTCCTCTCACTAGGCTGTTGTAGTGGTTTTTAAGGGGATCAGAGTAAAAGGGGGCTAAACAAATGTCTGGCAAAGTTGTCTAACTTTTATGCATGAGGGCATTCTGAATCTATACCAACTTTATCCCACTACAGATTTTTTTGTTGCTTTATATCTCCTTATCACACAATTTCTTGATGGAAACTGATGAAGTCTGTGGTGGAAAACAAAAAAAAACTCAGGAATGAATGAGTCGTTATTTTAGGAAATTTTGTTAAAAATTACTAATGTAACACATGCAAAACATTATATATAAATATTAATGAAATATATAATTAAGTTGCATATAATTAAGTGCTAATAAAAGGATTTTGAGGTACATTGGACTAAAACTTGCAGAAGAATTACAAATATATATATATATATATATATATATCATCTACATCTAGTTATAGTAGATGGATAACATATATACATAGAATTTATGAGTAGGATTTGTTAAAAAAAACAACCCAAAATATCTAATTAACCATAGTGTTAATCAAAAAAAGAATCTGCAGCCAAATGTGAAAATGTCCCCTAATCAGTTCTGTTTGCTTTGGGGAAGAGACACTGAGATGAAACAGAAAACCGAGTCTTCCCGTGTGTGTAGTGTTGAAGAATGTCAGGAAGGTGAGTGAGAACCAGAAACGTTACACAACTTTAAGCCACTAGGGGCGCTAGACCTGTGACTTCCAGGTTCAGTGGCCCTGAAATCAACAGTGACGCTGCACAGCTGCAAATGAAACAGTCTCCCTCTGCGTGAATCTGATAACAGACAGTGTTTGGACGCAGAGATTGCCAAGTCATGGACTTGGCTGTAAATTCAAGGCCACATTCGACTCTCTAGATTAAATCCTACATCAGAGAACCAAAAATATGTCTGATCAGGTTAGGGTCAGATCTGATTTGTTTTAACGTTTAGCTTAGTTATCTCTGGTGTTTAAGAGGAGATCACATTGCCGTAAAAGCGGCGCTCTGGGTCACATGACTCATTTATAACTGGATCTGATCCTCTGAATTTACATTATGGGAGTTTTTGAACAGGGCAGTAATATGCCCCGAGTGCTTCATACTGACCTGAAAAACCATTTAATATATTAAAAAAAGGCTAATTGTTGGGTCGAAAGTTAAACAGTAGTTTTGCTTTGAAATGCCCATAGACTTAGAAATTATATTTAAACTGTTTTGTGGAATACGGTCAATCACTGTAATAAAAAGCACGTCTCTATTAAAACAGGAGTGAGCTGTTCCAGCCGGCTGATCTTACCTGCTTGTATCTCTTGTAGCAGCGTTGAATCACTGCTGCTATCTCTTTGTGTTGTTCCTGAAGGGGACCCTGAGAGGAATGTCAGAAATAATTTCATCTAACATTGCATATGTGACGTAATTACTGTTTTCAGCAGCTTGACAAGTGTTCAACAGAGCATCACAGAAAAAGATAAGCGTATTATACCATCTGTGTGAGAATGGAGGGCGCACTTGCCTTGTGTTTTCTGAGGGAGTGCAGAGCATGCCTGATGGTTTCGTACAGTTCGTGCTGCTCTGCCTCAGTCATAGCTAGACAAGAGGAATCTGTTTTCAACTTTTCCTCTTTCATAGCTGCACAGAGGAAGGAGCTCCAGTCAAAGGTAGACGAGGGCGCTTGGTTTGCATGAGGAGTCGTCTGCTCCTCCAGCCCTGAGAGTGAATTTGGTTTGGGGCTTGTAGCCTGGGGCTTAGATTTTAGAAACCTGTATAGAAAAATACAAAGTACCAAACTAAATGTTTCCTAAAGTGTCTATGGTACCTAAAGTATTTTGAAAAATGAGGGACATTAAGGAGATTCAAACTCACCTTTCCACTTCTTCAAGGTAACCAGACAATGACTTGACATCACTGCTGATCGCAGCCTTTGCAGAACCTGCTTCAGTGGCTGCAGTCTGCTTATGTCTTCCAGCTGAAGCATCCATGATGTGATCAGCAAGCATCGTAATGTCCACCTATAACACGTGAAGAGCCATTGGTATTTGTTCTTGAAGACAGTGGCAACATTTAGAATAAACCCTTCTTTTTTATTGTTTGAAATAAATGATCACTTTGCATTTTAAAATTTTTTCTTTATGTCAAAACTCAAACTGCTAACTATACCTGCAAGTCATCTGTGTTATCCTGATAGGTCAGCAGCTCAGTCTCCTCCCCCCTGTCAGACAGCACCCTCTGTCTCAGATGAATTGCCAGCCGTTCTTTTCCTTGAATTCTCCTGACCAGACTGTTTTGCCCAAACGAGCGCCTCAGACTCCACATGTTGCCCCTCTCAGACCCCCTTATCCTGGCCTGCAGGTGAGAGAACGGGGCACCGGGGAATGGAGGCCGGTCAGGGGTGGAGCTGGAAAGAGGTGCCCTCTGATAGCTGAGGTCATTTTTTTGTGAGTTGGGTAGAATGGATTGGAGAGGATTTGGCTTCTGGGAGGGTTCGAGGGGGGGGCTGATGGTGTTGGTGCCAGGGGTTGAGTTAGCGAGCTGCCGCTGGCTCGCAGGGTTTGATTTGGGTCGTTTGGCTGGGGGCGGGCCTCCCTGTTCCACATTGGCTCCCTGTTGGGATCTTTGACCAGTTTGGCTCCAGCTCTGGTTCTGGTTTAATGGTTGGCTCTCTGTTCTTTTCCTTCTCACCTCTGCAGAGATAAAATAAGTTAACAATGAGGATTAATCTTTTAACTTCTTATTAGAAAATATTCAAGTATAAAAATAAAAAAATAAATCATGAAGTACGAAGCTCTTATTCCTTAACAAACCATAGTCACTGTTTTAGGAATTAGTGTCTCGAAAAAGGAAAGTTTAATATTTTTCCTGCTGTGGTGACATGTTTCATTGGGTTTTACTGGGATTTCACACAATAGAGACTAACATAAGGAATGAAATCCACAGTTTTCATTACTTTTCAAAATCAATCTTGAAAATAACTAAGTGTAAATAATAATAAGTGTAAGGAGCAAATTTTGTACCATTATTGCTCAAAAGCAAAGAGCACATTTTTTAAATAAAAATTTGGAAAAAACAATTTTTTTTAAATTGAAATAAAAAAAAAATGTCACCCAGAAATGAAAGTTTGAATATTCATATTAAAATGAATATTTTAATATAAAGAAAAAACATTTTTGAGAGTAACTTTTTTATTTTCTCTGATTTAGTTTTTCTAATGTTTTTTTCTTCAGATTTTTTAGAAATATATTTTCAAATACTTTGCTTCTTTTTGCATGTCTGCTTCTGTCTCCTTGAACCCCAGTCGGCCTCACCAGATGGCCGCTCACACTGAGCCTGGTTCTGCTGGAGGTTTCTTCCTGTTAAAAGGGAGTTTTTCCTCTCCACTGTCACTACAAGCATGAGATTATATGTGTTGTAATTGGCTCTTATATAAATAAACTGAATTGAATTTTTTTTTCACTAATTTTATTTTCTTTAAATGTTTCCACAGATTTTATATTTTCAAAATTCGTTTTAATCATAACTGAGAATTTATTTTAATCGGATTGAGTTTTACATATTACATTCTTTTCAAACTGCGTTTCACAGATCGATTTCTCTTCACTTCGCTCTTGATGCACATATTACCAATACATTGTAGCTTCTAGTGTTTATGATCTCTGAAACACAATTTAAAAAGAATGCAATTCTTGAAAAATCAATTTGAAAAACAACAATAATAATAAAAAAAAATCAATATAAAATCTGCAATAAAAAAATGGTATTAAAGCAAAATGGTAAAGGGAAACAGGGAGTAAAATATCAGCTGAAGAGTGCAAAAGAATATAGCAATATCAATAGAAATGCTCCAGTTCAATGACCTGGCGGGAATTTAACTGGAAGAAGTTTATTAGATATTTTATTACCCCATCCCAAAAATCTAAATTCAGTGACACCACCCCTGTCTGCTGGAGACAATGTGGCCAAAAAAGTGCAAATCGCCACCATGTCTTTTCAGATTGCCCAAAAATTCAAGGTTTTTGGTCAGAAATACATAACTCATTACAAGACATTTTCAGAGAGGATTTGCCACTGGACTTTAAAACTTTGTATCTGGGATGTGTTCCTCAAGACTGGCTGAAAGTGGACAAATACTTAATGATTTCATAATTATTTTGGTGGCCAGCAAAAAAGCAATCAGGAGGAAACCAGAAAACCCAACACTTGGTACGTGGAGAGACATTGTGGTGGAAATATATAAGATGGCACAAATAACAGCCTATGTTAACCAAAAAAAGAACTCTTCTTAGAGCGATGTTGAAATGGTATTTCTTTGCTCCAGCCAAGTGGGCAGCAACACGATTTTATTATTATGACTTTATAATGTAAAATGTATCCTATTGTATGAACATGTATGTGAAAAACTCCTTATATGTATTTGTGTGTTGTTCCCCTCTTCCCCTTTCCCTGGAAAAAAAAACCAAAACAATAAAATATATATGTATATATATATATATATATATATATATATATATATATATATATATATATAAAACATTTATATGAAAACAGAGTAAGGAATAAAGAAATCAGAGAGAAAAAAAGCAAACCTACACTAAAGTCTTTTTTTATTATTGAGGCATTTTTCTGAGTTGTGCTACTGGATTGCAATTTTTTTTTCAAACTTCAATTTAAAGAATGTGTTTTTTTTTACTTGCAACTCTAATGGAACAAAATTAACTCCATATAGGCTCAGCCAACTTCCTCCAGAGGTTGGTTAATTAGTAAAGAGACACCGCATCTACCTGTGTGTTATCCGACCCCAGTATAAACACAGCTGTTCTGTAAAGTCCTCAGAGGTTTGGTAAAGAACATTAGTGAACAAACAGGATCATGGGAAGGATGTGCTGTTTGCAGCTTGTTCCCAGCTATAGCAAACATGAAAGAAAAGGCCCTGTCAAACAAGGCAAACATTGCTCTAGGTTATTTTATGTGCTGCAAAATTCTGCTGAAGGGGAAACCACCCCAGTTTAACCAGAATACAGGTCGAGCATGCTGTGGGGTTCCTATCTTTAGAAGGGCCCATGAAGGTGGTAGGATGATTGAGAAATGGACGGAGCTCAATACAGAAAAATCCTACAAGAAAACCTGTTTGACATATTAAGCCAGCGCTACAGTGGAAGGGTTTAGATCAAAGCAAATGTATGCATTATAGTGATCAACATGGTTACGCCATATGTTTTACATTTCTGTCATCAAAACCTTAGAAAAACCTTGTAAGAGAATCTTAATAAAATTTGCAGCTGTTTAAATGTCTTAACTATGTTTTTGATTCTATTTATTTCTGTAATGTGTACGTATTTTTATTCCTTTTGCATGTACTATGTTTGCTTAGCTGGACAAAATAATGGTACACTTTCAAAGCAAAAAGATTCAAGGTCCATATTTGCTTTTGTTGGACACTGTATTTATCTTACAAAGGTCTAATCTTTTATATGTTTTCTATGATGTTGAGAATTTATAGCTTTTAGTTTTCTATATTTTTTGATTTAATAACCCTTCAACAATCAATCTAAATTATTTACAGAAAGAGTAAAAATGTTTTTTTTTTTGTCATTTTTATTTTTGTTACTCAAGCAGATAATTAAGCTTTAAAAGAGACTTTCAAAAGTAAGGAAAACCAGTCAGCTGGCACCATGTTTAAAGCTTTATATAACTTATGTTTCAGTGTTTGTCTGATATTGAGTCCTCGTCTGTGTTCAATTTCAAAGCATGTAAGGTGTAGAGTTCTGACTCCTGGTGAGGACTTCTGTGATAAAGTTTTTAATTACAGAAGATAGACAATGACGCTTAGTGAACTCTCAATAATTTAATTGATATTTGGACCTTGGCACAACTACCTGTTTTAGTGATATGTGGAATTGACTGTTTTTAAAGATATCCTTAAAACCAAATAAAATCCACATTAATATTCTTCTGGTAAGCATCCTTCATAAATTAAAATCTTAAACATGAAAAAAAGGACAACCAAGAGCTACTTTATGATGACTAAAATTTGAAAGAATGGACCTGGGCTTGGGTTAGTGCTGGAGCTGTTACTGATCCCACCGTTCTGTGACCCTCCTTTCCACTTGTCGATCCAACTATCCGCAGACTGCCCCTTAGTTTGAGGACTCTGCTGCAGCTGCTCCAAAAGCTCAGCCAATCGAGTGTGACCGCGGGATCGGGCAATGTTCAGCGGCAGGCGGCCAAGAGAGTCAGGAATGGCTAAAGCTCTTGGGTCCCACTGGTAAAGAACCAGTGCTGCCTCCGTATGTCCCAGAGCACATGCCCACATCTGAAGGAGATGGAATGAAATAAAGGTCAAACACACATAGAAAGAAAATAGGGGAAATTTAAAATGTGAAAGTATCGATTACTCACGAGCGGCGTGCAGGAGAAGTGGTCGACATTAAGGGGATCCACTTCCAGCTCAAGGTCAATGCTGTCGGCATGCTTTGTCCTGCAGAGCGAGGCGACAGCTGTAAATTTAACTTCATCTTCACGGCGGAGTGTCATATCTAAGTGTTACTCACCGCCAGCGAATGAGTGTCTGGATGAGTCCTGCATAACCCTGGGCTGCGGCCAGATGCAGCAGCGTCATTCCTCTGGAGTTCTTACTGTGGACGAGCTGGTTAGAAGAAGTCCAGCAGGGCTGAGACATCATCTTCTCACACACCACCACCACTCGGCCCTCAAACGTGCTCTGATCAGGGGAGCTCTGAGGGATGGTAAAGAAAAAGGAAAAACAAATGGAAAAATATAAAAAATTCTGTTGTTTTAATGTCTAGCGACTTCCTATGATGCAATAAGCAGCCTCTTCCTGGCGTTCTCTGAGGCCGACGTTGGTTTTCGGAGCGCTATAACACATTAAAAGAAAGTATTTTGAGTTTCCTGATAAATGCAGGAGTTTAGAACTCAACAGGACATTATAGCTTACCAAGATTAATTTTGAATTCATGGATCATCTCATACATGCTGAGTCAATATCAAATTTTAAGTGATGTCAAAATAAAGACACATAGTTTTGCTTTATGCATTTATAGGATATAAACACATTGGAAAAGTTTTTTTATGCATTCACTGAGTAGATGGACCAAGACCACATTTTTAAATTTGATCTGATGATCAGAGTGTACTGAGGGATGATTGGTTGTTTATTATCTAGTTACCACTGACCTTTTCTTCTTTCTTAAGTAGTTTTTTGATTGCTAATTGCAGTGAAAGATGACATAAAGATGATTCAGTAGTCTATCGTTACTTGATACTTTATGGGATGGTATAGGAATCCCTGTCAGTGCCTTAAACATTGTCTTTTTAAAGTCAAGCCTTGATTTATTTCATTATCTTCATGTTTTTGTCTCTTTCATCTAAGACGTCATGCAGAATGCAATCCTTTACAATAGTCTTACTTGAGACCGCTGATCATTGGCTCCTCCCCCCTCCAATCCTCCACCCTTGGTTGCCATGGCTTCTGAGCTGGGGTTCTGATTGGTTATTTCAGCCATCCTTTGCTCCATTTGCTCCAGACGCTCCAAGATGGACATCCTGAACTGGGTGTCTGTTGAAATGCAGAAGAAAGGTTTGGATCTGTTTGCTGTAAACAGTGCATACTGTATATGTTTCAGTAAGTTTCTCTTAAGATGAGGGGCTTGATTCTGTTTTTTTTTTCAGTGCTGCTGCAGATGTGCTGCAGTGACCCTCATGTCATCCCACCTGCTGCTCTCCTACTCAGTTTTCTGTTTATCCTATACTAATATGTTCACTTCTACACTCTTGAGAAACCTGATATCAATGTGAATGTACTTTTGTCAAGACCAGAGGCTTTTTAGAAAAGGGTAGTGAAAACAAAGGCCGACATAAAGTCCAAGGAACACAAAAGATGGGTCTGGAAAGAAAGTTGTGGGGAAGTTTAAAAGTTGGTTAGGTTTTAAAACAATACCTCGAGCTATGTACATAGGACTGAAGACCGATCAATGGAAATCCTTCAACACAGCTGCTAAACTACTATGACATGTTCAGCAAGGAGAGCAATTTTTAACACAGCTAATGTGGCACTTTCCATTTGACTGTTAGTTATGCACGCCACAAAAACAGGCCTTTGTGGCAGGGTGGTGAAAAGGGAGCCACAATAGAATGAAAATTTGGTTTAATTTGGAGTTTACTGCATGACATGCAGGACACAAAAAAACAGCGGGATGAAGATACTCCTGAATAAAGAAATTAAAAATAAGTGTTTTAGCTTACATGCAAATTTGGGCTGGGGGATATTGCTTAAAATCTGATTTCTACTTTTTCCTACAACATCCAATTAATTCTTTTTTTGGGGCTCACCTAAGTTTCTTAATAAGAATTAAAGAATTACTTAAATTCTTTTCAAAAACTACTTTCTATTTCAACACCCCCCATTTTATTGTCAGTATACTGTTGCAAGTACACAGCAACGAAATAAACTCTCTGCATTTGACCCATCCCCTTGGGGAGCAGTGGGCTGCCATTTTGTGCGGCGCCCGGGAAGCAGTGTGGGGTTAAGGGTCTTTTTGCTCAGGGACCCAGAATGGTAGTCTGTGGGAGTCGGGCTCGAACTCAGAACCTCAGGATTCCAAGCTCTATGCCCTAACCACTAGGTCACCACTC